AACATCTTTTTAAAACACCAAACACTTTCAAAACAAGAAATATTTTCAAAAAGTCCAACACTTTGTATGCATTATTATAGAGACTAGAATTATTACAAAGTTTGCTTAAACCAAGGCGCTTTTCAAAAATACTTTTAAAACCCTCCACAAACACATTTCAAACAAAGAAATTTCAAAAGTGATCTAGCAAGCAACTAAGAGCCCATAGATAACTATAGATGAAAAGGGTGCAAATACCTTCCCTTTTCATAATCTACCCTACAAAATCAAGAAAATATCTCAAAGTTCTTTCCTGTTCCTTTCACCCTTTCCTTATTGGATAAAATAAAAGTCGGTGGCGACTATTGCTATCCGCAACAATTGTGATCAAATGAAAAAAAACCAAGTCAGTTCTCCTACCGTATTACACTCTGATTTGATTGCTTTCCCAATTCTTATGTAGGATCCTTATTTGATTTTAGAGAATCCTAAAATCCTATCAAATTCCTCCAAAGTAGGTGCCAATTGGAAATTTTGGAAAGTAAAGCATCTTAGTGTTGGATCATAAAATTGAGCAAGGGTTGTGACAACTTCCAACTGAACATTCATTTTGAGAAGATCAATGGTATCACCATAGCGATGGACAAAATATTTCATAGCTTTGTTAGGTAGTTTCCCTCTAATCAGTTTTAGTCTCTTCAAATCAGGCATCATGGCGCTAATACGAAGGGTTGGATTCTTATTAGTATTCATTTTCAAGATGCTAACCAAAAAACCTTTCTTTTTCTTTTATATTTTCCAAAGAATTCTCGTGAACAAGACATACAAAAATAAAAGAAAAAAAGAATATTTTTAATGTAAATGTATACATGTATGGTCATGAAATATAAATGTGGGATGATAAAGGTTTCCTTAGTATGTAGGCTCTTAAGGTTTTTCTACAGACATTCTACCCTTCCCCATAAGGATGGTTTCCTTAAGGTATCATGGATAACATAAAAGAGCAAAGGCACAATGGCTTCCCGTAAGTGGAGCCTCTATATAGACCAATACTTTCGTCTTATAGGTCATACAAGGTCTCACCATGAGATTTTATTTTTGGGTAAAGGTCCCTAGAGTCATTGGTAAAATTTAAAGTCCTACCTTTAAGAGAGGCTAGCCCTCCAAAGTTATTTCTAGGAATTTGACCCACTGTAAGCGAAGTTGTCACAAAAACTCATAGGGATGTTAAACCCCCTTGGCCAATAGACAACCCCTTATCTAAGGTTTTTATCATGCAAATTAAATCCCACCAACAAAAATTTGATAATATGATAATAGATGAATAAATAACATAAATGAGAAATAATAAATAAATAAATAAATAAATATATACTGAAATAGAAAAATAAAATAAATTAAAAAAAAACCAAAAAGACCTAAAGCTAAAAGTATAATAAACTCTAACTTAACGGTTGTGTCCCCGGCAGAGTCGTCAGCTGTCGTAACCAGAAAAAAAAAACACGAGGGTCCCCACCATACTTATTTTTCCTAAGGACAGGAAAGAAACGGAAAAATCCTAACTGTTTATAGATTACTGGATTCGCGAGTTGATTAGATAAAGGGAAGGTGTTAGGCACCATTTACCTCCCTTATACTCAAGGGGATCCTTTTCAGATTTATGACTTATGGTGGACTATTTCTCTATTTATTTGTCATTATCATGTATAGGAAAAGAAAAAAAAACAAGATAAAAATAAGCTTTTTAAGTTAGTGGACTCGCCTTGGTTTTTCAACCGTGTGCTTGCGTATCTTCTTAAGAAAAAATCAGAGTCCTTCGTAGTTTGAAGTGTTTGGTTAGTGTTTTTTATAGAATCGTGTTAAGTTGCTTTCAAATGGTGTTTGAACTTGCATGGGTTTGAAAATTGTGTAATGGTAGGAAAAGTTTTTATCCAAGTAGAAATAAATCAGACGATTCTTAATTTGAAAAAAATATTGATTTTTAATTATGTTAGCAGAAAATGCTTTTTGATTGGTTAACTGTTCTAATTTAATTTGATTCTTTTGAAAAGGTTTGACAATTGAATGTAAAAAATGCGTAAGTAAATGTCTGATATTTTGAAAATAATTAAAGTTAGTAAAAAAATTTAGTTAACCAAGCTAAATCTTAAAATTAGGTTTAATAAAAATGATGATAAAAATTTAGAGCAAAATTTGTATTTTGAAAATATTATTTATTGAAAAAAAAGGTTTTACTTAACCTAAAATATATTATAACTTTATTATAAAAATAATTTATTTTTTATGTTCATAGTAATACCTGATATTGTAATAATACTAAATAAATAAATAAAATAGCAAAACAAATTCAAAATAAAATAAAAAATTGAAAATTAAAAGACTAGGGGGTGTATTTTATATTGGAAAGTAATCATGGGGTGTGATTATCGTTTGGGATAATCCTAGGGCCTTTTGAGCCTGTTTGATCATGGTGTAGGTGACTCAGGGACGTTATGGTGTGCTAGCGAGCCCAGAGGTGTTTGATTTTGATCATAAGGCCACCAAAAGTTAATTATGAGACGTTGATCATAAGTATGCCATACGAGCGAATAAGATTGAGTGTTGACTAGAGTGCATGGTAGGATGGAACCCATATGGAGACCTCAAAGTCATCCCATCATGTGGCCTGTAGATGGCCACACGTCACATATCCGAGGGCAGACTGAGGGAGTATTTATTCAAAATTTCTTCACAACCTCACATTTTTCTATTTTCCTCTCTCTACTCCTCCGCCCTCTCTCTCTCTCTACTCCTAAATGCTCTCACTTCTCTCTAAACATCAAACCTTCACCATCGGTCAAAAATCGCCTCTACTGGTGGTTTGCCTTCAGCAACCCCAAATGCCCCTAAGAAATCTAGGATTTCGATTGAAGCTCAACTGGAATATTCAAACATTCATATTCCCCAACCTAGAACCCTTAGAACCCTAGGATAACCCTTTCATGAAGAATCCTAATAGGAATCCTAGGTATCCGACCACCATGAGCGGCCGTGAAGGCCACCATTAATGATGAATGTTCGCCGATAACTTCATCATATTTTTGAAAAATCAGTGAGTTGTGGCTTCAAGCCTTTGAATCCTAACCGTAACCCTATGAATGTATGAACCCTAACCCTAAATTTCCAGAAACACGTAACAATCACAATAATTTTATCAAGGCTAAGTGTTCGATTTACCTCAACTGTTGTGACTCTTTTTGTAATCTCCTTTCCTCTAACTAATCTTTCTCTTCTCTATTTTATAGGTACAAAGGACGATGAAGGATGACAATTAGGGTTTCGATCTCCAATCTTTCTCCAATATTCTGTTAATTTTATTCGTCCTTGTTTCTATATTAAGTAAATATAATAATAAAAATGAAAAATAACAATGAACTAACGTGGAGGTGTTCACCTCCGGTCAACAAGAACAACTAAATGATAAAAATAAAAAACGAAATACCTAATATATTAAAAACTTAATTAACTATTTAATTATTTATAAAACCTATTAAAACTAATTTTATAATGGACTATTAGTCAACAAAAGTTAAATGGGTCATTTTTAATATAGACATTTAGATAATGAACCCATTACCTTATAAATTAGAAAAATGTTCATGTTTTGTAAAATAAATTGTAAAGAGTTTTAACACATATATAATGAAACATGATTTCTTTTATCTAAATAAACTATAATGCATATAAAACTAAATGTTAGTGTGAATAAAAATTTAGTTAAATAAATGGGAATAAACTACAAAAATCATTATAAATAACCTAAAGGAAAACCTAGTGAAATAAGATTTGACTGTAGCATCAAGGTGGAAATTTTGGGGTATGACACCTAGCAATTAGTTGGAAAGAAACACTTCATAAGGTTGTTTCCTTATCAACCACTAAAGCCAAATAGATTGTCCTCACAGAAGTTGTGAAAGAAGCATTGTAGCTTGAAGGTTTTGCTAAGGAGTTAGAACTTCAAGGTCGAGGTATCATTGTTAAATGTGACAGCCAACGTGAAATACACCTGACGAAGAATAAGCATATCATGAGCAAACCAAGCACATCGATGCAAGGGTCAGAGAAAAATCGAGTGTGGAGAAGTCTAAGAGGTTTTGACTAAAGATAATGTTGTTGATATGATCACCAAGACATTGTCAAGCTGCAAGTGTTCCACTGTATGCAGTTGGTAAAACTGCATGAAGAAAGCTAGTTTGTCCCCTTAATGTTGTAGAGTTTGTTCCATGGTGGAAATTTATGGTAATTTGGATTGAACTCTGGTATCGACATGGGTAGCTTTCTTGGTTCGACAAAGGTTAAACATTCAATCAAAGTCTATTTACATGCTGGTATCAAAGGCTTGCATGTTGTATTCAAAGTAAGTTCAAGCATGCATGTGTCAAAATATGCTAGGTTTTTAGCATGTCTAATTGGGTCAGTCTATTAGTCCAATTGCTTAAGTTAGCCTCTTACTTAAGTTAGCTTAGTAGTGTATAAATAGACTGGTTCTCTCAATTTGTTGAGAGAAATTTGGTTGTTGTTATTCACTTGTAATCTTTGAATACTAATTGAGAAAGTCAATAGTAAAACAAATATAACCAATCTTGATTTTTCTTCTTCTTCCCTCTTTTCTCTCTTTTGTAAAACCTAATAGAGTTTCTTGTGTTTGTTCAAGAAACTCAACTTTGTCTTAGTTTTAGTTTGTTCTTGACTGCACTCTGTTACAATATTTATAATGGTTAAAAACTGGTGCTTTTTATAAAATTAAATGAAATAAATAAGTTATTTCCACTGTTGGTTAAGAAATTGAAAGTTTTATTCTTATTCAAGAAAAGCATGTTAGATGGTCATGTATAGTTAAATATTCTTCTTGAATTTTGTAGTTGGTGGTGTTTATGTTGTTGTTATTGAATGATTATGTTGTTGTTGTTAAACATTTATGTTGTTGTTGAATGTTTATATTGTTGTTTATATTGTTGTCGTAATTGTTAAGGAACAAACCAATGAACATATACTTAGGTAAGAAAATGGTGTTATAGGGTTAGATATAGAGTAGGATTCCTTTGACATTTATTGAGTATGGATTTGATCAAATTATTTCTACGGTTGAAGATAATAGGTTCTTGATATGTCTTCAAACATATCTCATTAGAAGATACTTGGTAATCATCTTACAAAATGTTAATGAATGTATTGTGCCTATGTCACTACAAGAAAATTAGTGTTTAACGACACAAAAATTGCGACAGTTATGTGATAACTGTCGTAATTGAAATATAGAGACAGTGTTTACGACAATTGACACCAACCGTCCCTAATATTTATTTTGCGACGGTATATTTAACCATCATAATATTATTATTACGACGGTAAAACAACCGTCGGCCCCCATTTAACACTTTTAACATTGATTTTTCACCAACAACTAGTCACGACGGTAAAATTAACCATCCTAAAAGGCATATCACGACGGTAAAGAACCCGTCGCACCCTTAAACCTTTCACGACGGTAAAATTATCCGTCCTAAAATTCATTTCACGACGGTAAAACAACCGTCGCACCCAAAACCTTTAAAAATTCTCATGGGCACGACGGTAAAACACCCGTCGCAGCAAAAAAGTTAAAATGCTCATAAAACATCGATTAGAATGTTTCTTTAACAGTATATTGGAATTCCTTGAACAAGTTCTGTTTCCGCGGCATCCTCGACGAATCAATCGGCGAGGGAACCCATTTCCTCATCCCATGGGTTCAAAAACCCTACATCTTCGATATCAAAACCCGCCCCCATACTTTCTCATCAATATCCGGCACCAAAGATCTTCAAATGGTTAACCTAACTCTCCGAGTCCTCTCTCGTCCCGACACCGCGAAACTCCCTGTCATCGTTCAAAACCTCGGTCTCGAATACGACGAGAAAGTCCTCCCTTCGATCGGTAACGAAGTTCTGAAATCTGTTGTGGCGCAATTCAATGCTGATCAGCTCCTTACTGAACGTCCTCAGGTTTCTGCCCTTGTTAAGGAGACTCTTGTCCGACGTGCTAGGGATTTTAACATCCTTCTCGACGATGTGGCGATCACACATTTGTCTTTGGTAATCAAGACACGACCGTGTGTGGAAATAATGAAACTAAAACAAGTAGTAATGTTTATGAAGCGAATGTTTATGAATTGCTGAGGAATTTGTGTGTGTTGGCGCCGAAAAACGGTGGATTTTCTGTTGGGTTTGTTGAGAGGAAGAATGTAACGGTGTATGGTTTGGCTCAGTGTTGGAAGTTTGTTACTGGTGGTAACTGTCAGAGATGTTTGGAGGATGCGGTTACTAGGATTGGTTCTTCGTGTAGGAAGAAAGAAGATGGACGGGCTTTGAATTCTGGTTGTTATTTGAGGCATTCACCACACAAGTTCTATAACAATTCAAGTAGTAATGATGTTGCTGCTGGAAATCGTGGTGAGCTATGATCTCTTTTTCTTTCGGTTAGCCATGAATTGTGCATAGTCACGGTTGTAATCTGATTTCGTCGAAACTTTGAAGTATTGATTTCATCAAAATTACAGTAGCATGATTATGCCAAACTTACCATTTTGAACTTGTTCATAATCTTGAATTTTTGTTCATTGTATTTTTTGTTAATGTAAAGTAGTTTAAAATATCAGAATCATGGTTTTAAAGTTCGGTTGCGATCGCTGATGCAGTTGCGGGTGTTGTGACATGGTTGCCGCAATGCGCATTGTGGTCGTTGCAGTGTGAATTTTGATTGAGGGGTTTGAAATAGACCAAAAACATTTAATCTTAAGATTTTTCATTACATAGTGAGGTTTTGAAATTTTTAGTTTTGGTGAAAATACTTGAAGAAACTTGAGCGGCATTGTTAGATGCGGTTCATAATATAGTCGGACGCGTGGTTTTAAATCACACTGCAATTGCAGTCCAATACGGTTGTGGAAGCTACTGCATTAGCAATATTACAGCCGCAATTGCGTTGCGGACCGCAATTTATAACCATGGTCAGTATTATGATAAGAACATGATTGAAGCTTGAAACTGTGTTTTAGGACACCGAAAAATGGCTATAATATTGGCTGCATCTTCTGCTGTCTTGGCTCTTCTTTTGGTTACTGCAACAATGGGTTTCTTTATAAGAAAGAATGTAATGAGGAAAAGAAGAGGTACACATGTTTAATATTTAAAGACTGGAATTACTTTTTTCCAAAATACTTGTGCTAAAAGTTATTGCTATGTGTGTGTGTTTTTTTACTAGAGAGAAAACAATTTGGGACACTTTTGGATACAGTGAATAAATCCAAGCTAAATGTTCCATATGAAATTCTTGAAAAAGCAACAAATTACTTCAATGATGACAATAAGCTAGGACAAGGAGGATCAGGTTCAGTTTATAAAGTATATTCTGATCTTATCTTATTGTAACTTCTTACAACCTTATTGTTGTTAAGTGCTTATAGATTTTTCCTTTCATTTTAGGGAGTTATGCCAGATGGTAATACTGTGGCTGTTAAAAGGCTTAGTTTTAACTCGACGCAATGGGTGGATCATTTCTTCAATGAGGTTAATTTGATTAGTGGAGTTCATCACAAAAATGATGAGAGAAGAAAGAATACTTACACGTCGGAGTCACTCCGCCAACGCTTCAATCGTGATTCAGGTATGCATTCTTAATTCCTCATTCTTCTATTATTTCCGATTCACACGTATTTTCTATTGATTCGGTACAATTCAATTATTGAAGTTTGTTGTTGTGATTGGTGTTGAAATAGAGGGAATGCTTCAAGCTTGAAGTCGCGATGATGCCATTGATGATGAAGGTTGACGAAGCTGTGTAGAATATTGTAGAGAGGTTGTGTATAGTTGGCTATTAGGATGGGATGGCTTTAGATTTGAATGAAACTGAGAGTTAGTTGCTCTCCCTTCCAGTTTGTTGAAATCCAATGGATTCCTCTCCCTTCCACATGCACAAAAATGACACCAATTTAGTTTAAAATTATGATGGAATTAACACACTATTATAAACTTACAGTGTCTGTTCCAAGTTAGAGATAAGCCTAGATGAATCGCGGTAGTAGAGAGTGACAATTTCCTCAACAAAATTAGGATTAGCATCATCTTGCAATTCTTCAAGTTGGATAAATTGTTCATCAAGAAGCCCCTGCATATTTCATTATTACTTAGGTAACTAACTAGCTAGCCATCAATATTAATCAAGACTACAAGAGTCTAATAACATTCTATATATATATACCTGATCAAACAGTGACTGTTTCATTGCAGCAACTTGTCTGCGACAATTGTTTCTGTCCATGATGATATGATTAGAAGAAGAAGATGAAGGGACACACAAGGAAAGAATAATAAAGGAAGAGGTTGGAATTGAAATTTGGGGTCTGAGTTTTCATGTATAATTAAAGAGGCTAAAGCCTTGGGGATGGCTCTCGGCGTCTCTTGTTTGAATGGGTAATATTTAATAGAAGTTACAGTTTGATGGTGTTTTGCTTTAAATAATGCTATCATATTTTGCCGGAATTGTTGATGTTCAAATTTATTTATGGACTAATAAAAAATTAAAATTTGTATGTAGGGTACTAAACATATATTATTTAGAAATGATATTATCGAATTTTTATTCCTCTTGAAAGTTGATTGAACAAGTTGCATTGATGGATGCTAAAGAACCAATTTGAACTGATAGCATCTTGCTCTTTTTCGAAAATGCAGGATTGAAGAAGCTGAAGCACAGTGTGCTTTGTTGAACTCTGAATCATTATGCGTAAGCACTTGTCTACTTTGTAATTATCAGTTATTTTTGGGATACTAGTACTATTGCTGTTTGCTAATATCATGATTGTTGTCATTCATTGTTGAGAATTATAGGATGGATGTTTCAGTTCAGATTCAGATATATTTCTCTTTGGTGCAAGGACAGTGTACAGGGAAATCTGCCTTGGTGAGTATATCATTTGGTTTCGTTTTTAAATATTATTGTTGAATATATTTTTGTGCTAATTGTATTTTTCGTATAAGTTCTAAGGATTTTTTTGTACTTTCATATGACTTACAAGATTTTTTTTTTATTAATGAGTTAGGAGATGGTGGATATGTTGTATGTTATGAGATGGCAGAGATTGAAAATAAACTTGGATTGGGACGGGATTCATTGGTAAATTTCTGATTGATGTTTTAACATAAGAGTCACAATGCTTTCTTAGACGATCTTTCGTTGTTTCTTGTCAATTCAAAATTCAAGGGTATTGAGTTCTTGTTCTGGTGAAAATCAGTAACCGAGTAACCCATGATCTTCAGATTGCTCTCTCTTTGCTTCTCGGCAGTGACTATCATCAAGGAGTTCATGGTTTAGGTTCGGTAAGTCCTTAAACACATCCTTCATGATCATATTACTTTTTGCCTTTTCACCTCTTGTTGTTTAGCAGGGTTGAATATTTACATATTATATGGTTGCTTGTGCTTTTGCATGATTGTTTCCATGGTTGTATTGTAGGAGTTAGCTTGTCAGATAGTAAAATCAATTGGGGAGAAAGATGTTCTAAAAAAATTTGCTTCTGAAGGACTTGGATGGGTGAAAAAAAGAAAAGGTATATATACCCTTGTCATATCTATATTGCATTTTAGTTCCATTTTGCAACTTTTTTTAATCATTTTTTCTATCTTTTTTGTTTATGCAGGAGCTAAAAATAATATAGGAAAGGACGATACCATTTTACAAGTGATTGATGCTTATTTGAAGCCAAAATGCCACTCAGCTGATTCAGACTTTGTGCTCAAGTATGTTATTTAATTCATTGCTTCCGGTTCCTTTATTATACTCAATATTGATTGGAATTTAGAATATACTAATCAGAACCTACGAAAGCTATATGTTAATGGTAAAGTTTATCTGCTATAGTTCTGAATCTGGTTACTAATTAGATACACACTTAAAATAAGAATTTGCAAAAATTTCTGTAGGGCTCATTCTCAGTATCCATTTCAACGTACTAAGCTCCATCATATATGCGCTGTATACTTCGAATGGCCTTCGGAGAGAACAAGTACTTTATCTAATTTCAAATGCTTATTCTTGTAACTCAAGAATTTGTGCTCCGAGTCATGTCATTAGTCTTAGTCAAGAATTGGTATATGCTACCTCTTGGATGAAAATTTGGAAGTTGTTTGAAATGCTGATTGTTGGTTCATGAAATAGATGGATATATCCTTCCATGTATAGTCGAAAGGGATTTACGACGATTTGCCAATTTGCGATCAACTTCGTCTGAACTTGGGTTGAACCTTCCTTTACATGAGGTACTGCTAACTCTATTCCAATGGAAGACAGGTATATTAATTTGACGCATTTAAAGTTAAATTTTATGAGTATTATTTTAAAGATTATTATTTTAATACCTTTTTTAGGGATTGGAATCACCCGCTGATGGTAGACGTTCATCTGAGTCTAGCTATCGTATTGGAGATAATGGAACTTCAGGGGGGACAAATTAGACTTTGCTATGATCGGGATAATTAGATTGTGAACTTTCTCATGTATTTTTGGCATAATGATACTTATTATTATAAGATTAGGAATTGATATATTTTGGGTTTTTTGTACTACTTGACATGATTATGGAACTCGCATTTTACATGATTATGACACACATTTTTTTGGATATTATAATGCTTATTTGATGTTAAATATTTTTTATTGAAATTATTTTTACTATATTACAAAGTGATAGAAAATAAAACAAAAAATAATACTATAAATAAATATATTAAAGAAGAAATAATTTAAAGAAAAAAATAAAACAAAAAAAAACTATATTTAAAATTTTTTACATAGATAATAATTTAAATAAAAAATATATATAATAGAAAAATAAAAAAAAATCAAGACATAAACAAAAGTCATGGCGACAGTACCGAACCGTCGTAATCAACAAAAGTCATGACGGTATCGAACCGTCGCCATAAACAATTTAATCAATTTCAAAAGATATTCACGATAGTATCGAACCGTCGCCATCAATAATTAAAAGAAACTCAAAAGATAGTCACGACGGTATCAACCCGTCGTAAACTTGAACGACAGTTTTTGTAACCGTCGCGAAATAGGTTGGGGACACACACTTCTGCGACGGTAAAGCAACCGTCGTGGAAAGCAAATTGCGACGGTTTTAACCGTCATAATCTACAAAAATACCTGTCGCAATCTGCCAATTTTCTTGTAGTGTGTTGTTGTTTTTATTATTGATGTTTAGTGCCTAAAACCTAGAGGTTTATTTGTTATTGTTAGTGAGAATGTTTAGTTATGTTTTTGCATGAAGGTTTGAGGATAATATATGTTTTTGTATGTTTTTGTTGTTGTTGGTTTAATGTTATGATGATATTTTTATTTTGTTGTTGTTTTGAACATAGATGGATTATTCACCTAGAGACGAAACTCATACAAATGAAAACCATACAAATTTGAAGAAAAGTGTAATGTTATGATAATATTTTTTTATAACTAATAATACATACTTATTTATGTAACTGTAGTCAAATTTTTAGTTTAATGATGATGATAAGTTGAAGAAAAATGGATATCTTATGCTGATGAGCGTTGGAGAGGATTTAAGTTAAAACTCACGTGTGATTATGTTAGGAAGCCTGATCATGAGAATCCAACTGTGAAATATAATTTTATTGAAAATAAGGTTTGGGAGAAGTTTGTCAAGTCTTGTTGTTCCACTGATTTCTTGGTCGGTAATAATATTAGTTTTTAATAATTTTATACTTATGCTTTATAGATACAACCATGCAAATTAATATTTTCAATATGTTTAAAACAAGTTAATAGTGAATCGGGAAAGCTAAACAAGGAAAAAAACAAATATCCCTATAGATCATCTCGTGGGAATTACAGGAAACTTAAGGAAATATTGATTAATGAATAAAATAACAAATGGGAGATGAGGACTACATGAGTTGTGATTACATTCCATCTCCACCATCACGACCTGAGAAGTTGAAGAGGGCTCAGCAAAGAACAATGGATTCACTTCAGATGCCTCACGAGCAATCGCTGAGAAAATTGTGTGTATATTTTTTTTGTCAATTAGAGTATTAAATGTAGGGTTCATTGTGTGTATGATTTGTTATGTGTAATTTAAGTCGTGTTGGTAATAATATCTTATTCATGTTGTGTAGGATTCATTGATTGATATGGAAATTCAAGGTTCCTTTGTTTAACAACCACAACATGATATATCAGTAGAAGCAATTGGAACAAAGGAGCATGGTGATGTGTATGTGGTGTTGTATAAGTTTGTTGATAAGAAGCTAGCAAATGAATGTGAATCTCAAAAGAAATAGTAGCACGGGATCGTGAACCCCAAAAGAAAGATTTATAAGAGATGTACAATAAGAAACTAAAGATGCATTATCATAGGAGCAGGAAATTCGCAGGAAATGGATCGACGAGCCTTATGTGATATGGGAAAATGGTGTTTTATCTGGATAAATAGGGTTTTACTGTTTATGCTAAAATGTAGGATGTGTAGGATAAATAGGGTTTTAGTGTTTTATGCTGAAATGTAGGATATATGGGATAAATAGGGATTTAGTGTTTATGCTGAAATGTAGGATATGTAGGATAAATAGGGATTAGTGAGATATTTGTTTTACTT